ACTGCTTCCTCTCGCCGACGAGCCCCTTGAAAGCAATTATGCCCAAACCTCTCCAGCTGGAGGATGAAACCCCCAACACCCGTCTCTCCGCCCAACGACGCCAGTCACACGACTTTCCCTTGTGCCTGCCTTGCCGTTCCCGCTCAACCATGGCAAATGCTCTCCCTGCTTGCGTGCTGAGCGCATGAAACTCTCTACCTCGGAGAATCCTCACACAGCAGCCATACAAGGACGGGACGCTGCAGTTCAAGAAGATGGTCCACCTTCACCTGTTAACCAGCAACTGGATGCAAGCAAGTCTTGTAAGCCTGCTACATGAACTTGCTGAACCACAATCTCCCATGTACTCTCTTTCTCAATCTCCCCCCCCCCCCCCCCCGTCTCCCCCCGTCTCCTCCCGCTTCCCCTGTTCTTTATCTTTCCCTCAAACTTCCATTTATCTGGTGCGTCCAGAGCATGATGATGTCTAGACCAGTTGGTCGACGGAGCGACATTGTGAGCACCACATGGCTTTTAGTAAAGATATAAAAGGACTCAGTGTTCCTCCTCCCTCTGGGTCACCTTGTTTTAACCAGGTGCATTATCAACGAACTGTATTTACTGTGGACGACCGCTGGCGACAATAGCATACTGGTATGGCAGTTTGGTATCTTCGAAAACATTCTCGTTACACGGAATGCTGCTTATCCTTTTCATTACGCCAGCAGGGATAATCTTCAGGATTTTTGGTGGGTGGTTTGACTGCAAGTCCATATATGATGGGGTGCTATTCGGTTTGCGATAAGATTGGTAGGTACCCGGGTGAGTTCCGCATCATTCCCGGAGACGTGGCTCAGGATGGCGAAACCTTCATTGCTGCATAATCCGACGCGTTTTTCCTCAAGAAGAAGCCTCAGTTTACTTAGGATGTATTCACCCACCAACTCGCTCACTTTGGCGACAGCAAACGATCCCTTCTTTACTTCAAAAGCGTTATTGTTCTTTTTCTTTATCCAGGCTTCGCCGCAGTCAAAATGCAAGGAATAGACCGATCCCCTTATTATACTGGGTTCGAGCACGGGGGCAACCTCACTCGCGATCGAGCTAGTTTTTGAACGTGACAGCATCTTTGACAGTGTGTTTCAGGTTTGTTTTGGAATGTCTTCGGCTTAGCTCAAGTGGTTTGCGATGGCTTCGAGCGGTGCTGAGCCTCCTGCTGGTAGGAGCAGAGTCTCCGAGAGAGACATGGACTGTGATGCAGCTGCAGGATTTTTTCAAGGCGCGGGAGGGAACGATCTCGGGCCACAAACAGGAGTTACTCCAGAGGTGAGTTTTGTTGTTGTTGAAATATTCGAATCGCGAATCGTGTTGTGAGATGTATTTTGTGCCTAGGCTACAGCAGACCGTATTTCTTTCTCCTCGAGATCGGTGCTGAAGATAATAGTAACCTTTTTCTGGTCTGCCTTTTCCTCTCCAGAGCCATCTTCTATCAAGGTAACCGTGGTGCTGCCAAGTCACCAAGTCGCGATCGCGACCAGCAGCCCTGAAGTGGAAAAATCGATTTTCCAACGATCTGGTTGGACATCAGCCACTAAAGTACTTCTGATTGGCCTGTAGTGACAACAGCAGCCATCCTTGGACACCTTGCAAAGACAGGAAAAGCCACTGGTGGAAGCGACTGCTATGAGGTGACGATAGCAGTGGTGATCGCTGTTTTGTCCAGTCGAAGGGCTAGCCAACCCAGAGGAAGCATTAAAAAAACGATAAGCAGTGCGTGGTATTTGTTGAGCGTGAAGAGCTAGAGCTGTAGTAGAGGAGGACAGTGCAAACACATGGACGGAGTGGATGGTGTTTGAAGAACAGTGTCCTGTGTGCCGGCTGGACTGGTGGTGATGGTGGTTTTTGTCAGCATGGATTCGTGCTGCTTCTTGTGCTGGAACACTTCTCGCCCAGGTCAGGAAGGCAGATTGCGTGCTCCCTGGCCCTCAGTCGGCAATGGGGCATTTGTTCCAGGAACATTACCCCGGAGCCAGTGATGAGTCGTACCTTTGAAAAGTCGAAGCTTGCTGTTAATCGCACGCGTAGCGCAGTGGATTGCTCCCTCTTCGAAGCACGAGGGTCAAAGCTTGCCGCTGTCTGCAGCAAAGTGTGTGTGCGGTTCTTTCGAACCTATGAATATACCCCCCCCCCTCTCACTCTCTCTTAGGAAGACTGCATGTTGAGAGTGAACTATTTTCTAGTATATTTAATGTGAGACGGGCTGTTTACGCCCAAGATGAAGATACAGTTTTTTTCTGTTTCTATACGTTCCTGATAAAATACATTGTGACAGAGCTTCCGATCATACTCCGCTGTACTACATCCTCAACCCGCCACCACCATGCGCTCTTGGCCGAACTAATGCACGAAGCATAAACACACCAGCACAGCAAGGACACTTCTGTTGACAGATATTGTTTACGCCCCTAGACAGCTGTTTCGTTTCTTCCAGCTCATCGTTAGAGGAGGATAGTAGCGGGATACTAATGATGATAATGTAAGATGATAGACGGTTTATGGTCGGATATTGATGATTGGAGATCTAAGAAAGCAATGACCGTGATTGCGAAATGGATAATAATATCATGATTATATGCCAGTCTGGTAATGCGTTGTACTGGTGAACAGCATTGAAATCATCACTGCATTCGATGCAAATATTGAAAGAGTAAGAGAACCTGGTTGATTTGGTTGCATCTGCGACTGGCTACCGGGTGTTGTGATCAGCAATGTTACCATGAGAGAAAATAAGAGCGCAAGGATCTGTTGGGTCTAGTTGTGCCGTGCCGGTGCGAGAACCCTAAGTGCATGGCAAAATAGAACTGTTTCATCCACAATGCAGAATGTCTTGCGGTACATGGCATTGATGACTGAACATCTCGCCAGCTCGCCCAAATGGGGATCATGTCCAAACGGAGGAACAAGACATGTTTCCAGCTCAGCTAGTTATATACCGTGAAACTGATGATTAACTTGTGCCACGCATGCCAGCTTCTGTTCCATTCGGCCCAGGCTTAGACACGTCAATGCCAATAGCAGCTGAGCCTCCATTACATGCTCATTGGCGATTTACGGCCGCCTCCAACTGTATCCGCCGTCCCTCAGCTTCCGTCTTCGCAGATCTGGCGTGGCGCAGTACATTTTCTCGGCTAGGCTCAAAGAAGTCCCACAGAGCGGTCTAAACACCTGAAAGCAAACCAGTCAGAAACTGGAGCGGCTCAGAGTCTTTCTTTATGTTATTGTACGTAAGCTGTTTTTCGGCTTTCTTCACCCCAGTCCTCACATCGTCCAACTGCTCCACGAGACTCTGTACACGAGCTCTACTTGCTGCCAGCTCCTGATGCAGATGCTGCACTTCCATTACAGGACCAAACTGCACTAAGCCAGGTTCCTTTCCATATCAAAGTACCGTTGCCTCTCAGCAAAATACTGGTTTGGGAGCATGGGGAGCTCGTGATGCAGACGCTGCACTTCCATGACCGAACTGCACTAGGCTCAGCAAATACTGTTTTGCGAGCATGGGGAGCAGGGCGTCCAGACTCCACTCTCTTGCGAAAAGCAAACCTGGTATCGTAGGACAGCTGTTTGGGTTCCTGGACTCATCCTGCCCTTGTAGAGCTGGGCAAAACGATTTCGATTTCGGGATCGAAATGATCGCTGCAACTCAAATATTCAGAGTGACCCTAAAACTACGTCCTTCCTCACGGGGCATAGCCTGGATCCGCTTGCTCCAGGCCGCTGTGGCTCCACACGAGGAAAGGAGTGAAATGACTTGTTTGCTTCGTCCTCCTGTTCTGACAGTGAGGAACGCAGCAATGATCCTGAGAAGGCATCCTGAAGTCGTAAAAAGGAAGACGTCTAAACTAAAACAAAACAGCTCAAATCAAAAGTCCTTGTGACATTTTTGTAGACAGGCTTGCACTGCATGTAGATTTCGCGTGCTCTGCACTTCGCATGCGAGAAGTCACGCACAGCCGAGATGAGGTTGGTCGCGTGTGTGCAGCAGGATCCCACGCGACTGCGGAGTTGCCCCCTTGCTCGAACCCAGACAATAATAAGGGGATCGGTCTATTCTTGGCCTGCAGCATTATGTCACAATCTCTCTGGGTAATTTTGACATACAACCTGGCATAAGATGATGCCTCTAGTAAGAGCTTTCTGGTGATTGATGGATAAAAATTGGCTAAAGGGAACACCAGAAATTCTTTGGCTTCTCCTTGAAGTAGCGGAGCCAGTTAATGACCGATTTTCTGTGGTGCCACAAGTTGTGGCTCACGGTACTGCGTAGCATGCCAAGGATCCCATCTAAAACTGCCTGGCTGACCATGCCTATTTTACATGTCGAGGGAGGTTTTAGCTGGCAGTGGAGGAAATCATTGAACCCGGTCTTGTCGTCTTTCCATGTTACAAAAAAAAAACACTGCGTCTTAGCAAGTAACCAATCTAATATCATCTAAGCCAAGCTCTGTAGCGGTCTTCATAGCTTTGGCATTGATGTCGCTGTAGGCGTCATCTGAAAAACACGGGTATTTCTTGGTGATATTCTTGCGCAGTAGGGTCTGGTACTTTTCGGTAAGCATACAGTACAGGTTGCGCAACTCATTGCCTGAAACTACAACGTGCATTAAATGAAAATTGATAAAATTATTTGCCCCCCATTCGGTGCGATACTGGATAGCTTTGTCTGCTCCAGAGCCGGGTCAGCCGAGTCAGCGACCCGGTTTGGGTATACTTGAACCCGTTTGGAAAAAGAACACGGGGTCACCTGTGACCGGGTTGGGAATATACATCAGAGAGTCCTAAATAGTTACAACTCCGTAATGCAGTAGCCACACTTGGACGGACTCGGCGCTGGCCCGGTTGCATGGGTTGTGCCAAGTACAAGTGGGCCTCATTGGCTTGAAATCCAAGTGAAGACAGGTGCACTCACAGCTCTCAAATGTGCCGCAGTTCTTGAAAGTCAATGACATATGCATACTTACATAGTATGGCAAATTAATCCGTGCTTTAGCATTGCACAATATCTCAGCACACTCAGTAAAGCCTTCCTCGCAGGCTAGGTGGAGAGGTGTACGGCCCAGCTAAAGCACACAGACAGTCACCAACAGGACTATTCATTAGTTGAAGGTGCTGAAAAGGGAAAATTGACTGCCACTACCAGGATTCGAAGAATGTAGACCTGTGATGTTAAAAACACGGAGGTATGGTACAGTTGTCATCTCAGGAGAGACGTTTCAATAATATATTCAGCCTAAAAAACTCACACTTCCTCTTACACTACCCAGGCTGGGGGGGGGGGGGGAGGAGGGGAGGGGGAGGGTGGGAGGGGTTTCTGCTCCCACTATAGGCACACTCTTCGATGAGCTCAATCCCAAACTACTGCTAGTACTTGACAAACCGAAAGTATCAGACGCACATTGGTTGAGTGAGTTGAAAAGGGGATAAAAGGATTTCTAGAGATCCTTAGCAAAAGGAGTGTAACATTAAAATTAACTTTCATGGCACTCACTCCCAGCCGTGAAAAATGATGTTAAAATATTTGCATTCTCTCTTTGTAAAGTAGAAGAAGAAAACATATGGGAACGAGTTATGAAGCAACTGTCCACGACTGTAACAAGATGATAAGTAGGGCTGAAACGGTTACACATTTGTGCCTAACGGTTAACTGTTAGCCTAACGGTCGGTTAACAGTTATAACCTGTAAGACTGAGAAAAAGAAACTTTATTGTTTTTGACGTCATTTTATGCCTTTCTCAAGAATGTTCATGATGATGTACAAAATACTCAAAACATTAATGACTAGTACAGTAGTAACATAAGTTGGGTAGCTATAAAGTGGAAATATTGTAGACCAGGTCGAACTGACATGTCACTCAGTTATCTGAAAGTGACTGCCAACACACTGTTAAAGATAGTTTCGATTTCGTAGAGAAGCTACGGGCCCGACCTGTTCCAACTCACTCACATATGTGTTCGTTCGATGTAGTGAGTTTGTTCGCAAACGTACCGCTGGAGGAGACAATTGATATTTGCGCGGATGTGTTGTACCGTGTTGACGAAGTTGACACTCCGTGGCTACCTGAATGTGCTTTTCGACGTTTGATGTTGTTAGTCACAACTGGCGTCGAGTTTTCGTTCAATGACGTGATGTATAAGCAGATAGATGGAGTAGCCATGGGCTCTCCGTTGGGTCCCGTGTTAGCTAATGTCTTTGTCGGTTACTGTGAGTGTAAGATTGATGCGTCTCTATGGCCGAGTCTGTATTTCCGTTTCGTTGATGACTCGTTCACATACTTTGATTCCATAGAAGACAGCGAGGTCTTTCTTGGTGCTCTCAACACCCTTCACCCTTCCCTCCGCTTCACATGTGAGCACGAGCAGTCAAGCAAGTTATCCTTCCTCGACGTACTTGTTGAGAAAACCGAATTTGGTAGCGTAGCATCGGTGTATCGTAAACCGACATTCACCGGACAATACATTTCCTATGACTCGTACTGTTCATCTAATTATAAAGTCAACTTAGTAAAGAATCTCGTGGATCGCGTCAAACGGATCTGTTCACCTTGTAAACTCAGTGGTGAGCTCGAATTTCTCCATTCAGTTTTCACCAAAAACGGATACCCAGGCGACATGTTGGCAAAACTATTGTCTACAGCCCCCACGCCGAAACATGAATTGATAGGGCCTGCTCGTTGTCCTGTCTTTTTGTGCTTACCATGGAAGGGCAAGAAGTCTGACAATGTGAGTCGTGAAGTTCGTGCGATCATCAAATAAACCTACTATGCGGTACACTTCATACCCGTCTACACAACGATGCGTTCGTTCACGGTGTTGAAGGACGTCCTACCAACCCATCATTTAAGTCATGTAATCTACAACTTTGAATGCCGGAATTGTGCTAGCCGGTATGTTGGTAGGACTGTTCAGCACCTGAGCGAACGCATCAAGCAACACACTCCTTTACACATTATCCCACGTAGCGCACAACTGGAGCGTCCCACGCGGGGAAGACCCCGTAAACAACCACTACCTCCGCCAACACAGGACCTAGCGTCTCACTCGACAAGTCCACCATTGGCTCCCGTGGCCATGACCAAGTCACTCCCTCCACCAGCGGAGGTGGATGTGGCTTTGGCGACGCCACGTGTGTTGCATGCAGACACGTTTGCATCAGCATCGCTTGCTGCATCACCGGCAGAGACGACAACAATACCTACCTCAATATCAACGAGACCCAGAAGAACAACTGCTAATTACACCATGACCTATTTCAGTACGGAAGTACCGAGCCAACGGAATACACAACAGGAACGTGAGACGAGGGATGGGAGGAGACGGGACCTGATTGCTCCGAGGCAGGAAGTCGTTGAGGAGGATTCGGCCAGTGAGTCCAGTGATTCCGGTGAGTGTGAGAGCGAGACTGATCGTGTGAGTAAGAGTGGGTGCGAGCGTGTGTTTTCTAGTAGGAAGTCATCAGTGTATAAGCATCTTGCATCTCGTCCTGATTGCTGTAAGGTTTATTCTGATTCTTCTTTTTCTGTTTTGTGCCGTGCTCGTCATGGTTATAAGTTGCAGTTGAGTGTGTTAGAAGCCGTTTGTCAACGTCTTCATAAGCCTAATCTGTGTGTCCAAAAGGACAGCATTATTCGTTTGAAATTGTTTTAGTAGCAACTTGTTCTGTCTGTTTGGCTCTGGTTGGCCATGGTGTCATATCTTGTGTCACAGTATACTAGTAGTCCTTACAAGTTCGTTAAGTGCTTTCGCAGTTTTTTCTGTTATTACCTTAGTGCTAGGATTTCATATTCATTTTCATAGGTGTTGTTTCTTCTCACTCCATTTCTCTTTATTAGTATCTTTCTGGATTGTTTTTCATTAGTACAACGTAGCTTCCTGAGGAGTGTTGTGCGAAAACTAGTTCGAAGTACAATTTTTTGTTCATCATTTCTTCCATATCACATTTTTTCTTTCTTCCATGTTCTTCACTGCCTTCGTATACACTCGTTTTTTTGAATACAATAAAAGCCTTTGTGAAGGAATTTTAATCCTTTGCACATTGATTACCAGCACAGCCTGAAGCATAATTAGAAATTTCAGCACAATATTCACCTTAAATCTGAGGTCATAACTTTAGATTCCTTCACTCGATTTTCAAAATTTTGTGCTCTTTGGAAAGCTCCTGGTGAGAACAACGCGATGATACCAGGTTCTATGGAGCAACCTCCACATATCAGGCGCAGGAACAGAGCAAAGTCGTCCTCAAGCCTGGTATGCAAGTAAATTCGTCCCACCGACGCCATTTCACTCTCATCCATCGCAGAATGCACACATACTACGGAGCATCAGCAAATCAAATTTCGGTTCCATTACGGACGTGCCAAATTAAAAGACTGTGCGTAAATTCGAATGAAAAAGAGGTTCAGCATGTAGCAGCAATTTTTGACTCCGCCACTCGAGTAAGTACTTCAGTCTGTAGTTCTTCTCGAGCTTGAGAAGTAAACATTTTGAGATGCGCCGTGGTTGTTGCATTATAGAAAGAGTACGTAAGCTTTGAATGGCAGGATAGCAAGTCGATTGGTTGGATTCGCTTCTCCTCCTGGCTGAAGATCACCGGGATAGAACAGAGTTGCTGGTGTTGCTCGAGGCCGTTGTACCGCTCCATCATGTACTAGTAACGTTACTGTAGCTCCGTGCAAGACCACTGCTCCATGTACTAGTGTATGGAGTGCATGAGCAACATTCAAAACTACTGTTCTGTTTGCAGGCCTTTTCAGGCAAAAGAAGCCCTAGTTTCGACTCTTTGAGTGCCTGTAGTGACGATTCTCGAATTTCACTCGAAAATTCAATTTGCTGGTGCTCCAAATTATTTTTCAGACAATAAACTTCAAGCCTCTACGTTACTGTGCCATATCTCAATCGCTCCAAAGGCACGCAAAAAAGGATTTTTCCCTGAGGATAGGTGCGTTAGCCACGGCCTGGAGCAACATGGTACGATGAAGACCCGAGGGGACAATACCCTGGATCTGATTATGTCTGACTATCTTTCTGATGTAACAGTCAGTTGCAAACATCCCCTTGGCGCCTCGGATGTAACTCTGATGGCTGAATTCCCCACAAAAGTGTCGGAGAAATGTCCCACGAAACGAGTATTCTGGCCCTACAACCTAGCGGACTGGTCTCGACTTTCTCATTTTTATCGTCAATCTGACGAGACCGCAGCCATTACTCAATGTCCCAACAAATCATTTCATAATGTCCCTGTCATCATTTCGCAAGGCATGAAGCATTTCATACCAAATCGTGACCTTGTAACCCGCCCGTCTGACCCTCCTTGGTGGACTCCTGACTGTTCAGCACAGGCGAAGGCAAAACAGGAAGCTTAGGACCGCTCCTGCGCGACTCCTCGTCCACAGCTACGACTGGGGGCCCTTGAGGCGACCAGGCATTGCACTCACTATCTGCGCCAGGCGCAGGCAATACGCCTTGCCACGCCGAGGGACAAACTTTCACGTGGGAGCATGTCTGATCAAGAGTGGTGGTACACGTTGAAGCAAGCAGGTGGTAGTGGGCGCAGCACAACCAAACCAACTCTTGTTGACACTAACGGCGTCCGGGTCACGGCCAACTCCCAGGAAGCAGAGCACTTTGGCACGTTCTTTTCATCAAAGTGCAGCTTAGGAGCAGATGACTTTCCAAACGATCTGCTATCAGACGATCTGCCACCTATAACACCTCGTACCGAGTCTCGGCTTACTACCGTCCACTTTCGAACGGATACTGTCAGAAGAGAGCTCAGAAGACTGAATCCCATGAAAGCCACAGGGTGCTGAAGAAATGTGCCAACGAGCTCTGCTTGCCTGCCGCCCGGCTGTTCTCCTTGTGTTTTCGGCAGCAAGTGCAACAGAGGCTGTAGAAGGTCGCCCGGGTTGTTTCGATTCAAAGGAAGAAAGCTAGATCAGACCTGCGCAACTGGCGCCCGGTGTCTCTCCTCTGCAACTCTCCAAGACAGTAGAAACAATTGGCAACCACTGTTTTCTCTAAGCACGGTGTATCCTCTACTCCGCAATATGGCTTCCGG